CAGTAAAGTCTGTCAGGTATTCTAGGCCTGTAGGCTGAAGATGGATGCCCCAACTGCTGTGGGATAATCCCTTGGTACACTGTGAAGATTTGACACTTGGATTGGTTTGGAAAGGGGTTAAATGGCCAAGAGCTAGGCAGGTAAAGATTAGCTTGTGGACAGAAAGAGGGCACAGAGGAGGGCAGATTCCCCGGCCAGATGCCAAGGAAGTAGGAGATGAACATGCCGTGCTGAAAAAAAAAGGTAAAATGTAGGTTAAAAGTATGGGCTAATTTAAGTTGAAAGAGCTGGTTAGTAACAGGCCTATGTTATCAGCCAAGCATTTATAATTAATAATAAGTCTATGTGTGATGATTTTGGGAGTGAACTGGTGACAGAAAAGCCCACCTACACCCGACATTGCAGAGGAACCTTGGGGTGACTGTCCAGGCAGCCGGATGTCTCTGTCCTTTCTTAGTTTTGGAAGTTGTTGGCTCTGCACTTCCTGTTTACTCAGGTAATGTTATATGCTTCTTGGATCTCTGATGGGGTTAAAGATTAGATAGTTAGAGTTACAATTTTCCTTAGTTATGATAGAAAGTAAATTAGGTACAAAACTTTGGACTCACCAAGATTAAGATAGATAATAGAATATTTTCTCCGAATTTGGCAAATATTAATGAACTAGACATTGTGGATATATTTCTTACTTGATAATTATTCTTAGTATATATAATTTCACATGGTTAGAGTTAAAACCTTTCCTTTTTAGACAAAAAAAAAAACAGAAATGTTGTGGGAGAATTGTTCATGCAGCCAACCTCCTGTGCCAATAAACCACCTTAAATCAAAGCACCAAGTCAGCGATTGGTTGACCAGGACTAGCCATAGAGTTCTTGGAGGACTTAGGAGGTCTGCCAGAGAGGACAGGGAGAGAGGAAAAAGTATTCCAGGGCTGGTGGATCAGAAAAAAACGTGGAGAGAGAGTCAGCCAAATGACTATCCTCTGTCCTTGCATTTACCAGGTCTTTATCTCCATTTCTGACTCCTGAGTTTTCATTACACCTATTACATAATCATTTCAAAGAGCTATCATCGTTTTCAGCTGCAGATCCACAGGTTGAGCCTGCCAGGCTCCAGTGGTCAGACAGATGGCCCTCGTTAAACTAAGTGGGTTACAGAAGAAGACAGAGGTCTGGATGGGAGAAGGGACTTGTATGAAAGCGGGATGTTGGGGCTGGGTGAGAGATGAGGGGCTCGGGTATCTTTTGATTACTTGTCTTGGTCTTGTTAATTTGTTCCCTGTAACCTCTCTCTTCAGATTGAGATGTCTGAGAAAACACGAAAGCAAACAAAATTGCAGGAATTAATATACATCTTTCAACAACGGTCTCAATTCCTCCACAACAAGACACTAACAGATTTGATTAGAAAACAGAATCCATCGTTTTGCTGCCGCCAAGAAACATACCTCACCATCTCATTGACACAGGAAAGTGCTTTTTAAACAGGATCCTGGTAGTGTAGCCATTATGGCCAACAATTAATAAATGGGACATTAGAAAATAAAAACCTTTTGTACAGCAAAGGACACCAGCATTTGAGTGAAGAGGCAGCCTACAAAATATGAAAAAAATCTTTACCAACTATATATACAAGGGTTTTATCTAGACAACACAAAGAACTCAAAAAACTACACATCAAGAAAACAACCCAATTGAAGATGAGGCATAAACCTAAGTAGAAGCCGAGTATGGTGGTGCCTGTCTTTAATCCCAGCACTAGGAAGGCAGAGGTGGGCGGATCTCTGAGAGTTTGAGGACAACCTTGTTTATATAGTGAGTTCCAAGACAGCTAGGGCTGTCTCAAAAAAAAAAAAATGAATTCTCAGAGGTTGAACTACAAATGGCTCTGAAATGCTTTTTAAAATTCTCAACAGCCTTTGCAATCAGGGATATGCAAATTAAAACTTCTTTGAGATTAATTCTTACTCCAGTCAAAATGGCTAAGATTATAAAAAAAATAACAAAACAAAAGTTGACAAATTCATGGATATGGGGAAAAGGGAGCACTATTCCCTGCTGGTGGGAGTACAGACTGGTGCAGCCACTATGGGAAACAGTATTCAAAAAGCTAGAAATCGATTTGGCACATGATTCACCAAACCACTGTTGGGCACATACACCAAGGACTGTATATCCTCTTACAGACAGACCTGCTCATCCAAGTTCACTGCAGCTAACTCACAGTAGCCAAGAAATGGAAACACCCTAGATTTCCATTACTGATGAATGGATCATGAAAATGTGATACATTTATGCAACGGAATATTACTCAGGTATTAAGAAAAATGAAATTGTAAAATTCTCAGGTAAATGGGTGAAGCTAAAAGCAGCCATTCTGAGGGAGGTGACCCAGACCCAGAGAGACAGGCAGTACATGTCTTCTCTCATCCGTGAGTAAATCCTCATATATGTATGTTTCATTTGGACTCCCCATAGAGGTCAGGAAATTAGTAAAAGGCTATGGCGGGAGTTTCAAGGAAAGAGAGCTAGAACACGGTGGCAGAAAGCCTTAAAGGAGGTTAGTGGAGAGGGAAGGGTTAACTGGGGGAGGAAATGGGAGAGCAAAGAGAACTAACACTGAATATCTCTTGAAGACGCCATACGAAAATGACTTTATTACTGCCAAAGTACAGCCATTATTACTGTAGAAGCTCCCATATGAAATTTAAATGGAGCCACCCTGTAACAGGGTAGCAAAGCCCTTACTAGACACCACCAGCAAACAAATAAAAAGCCCAGTGCCAGGAGTTGGTCATCTCTTTTAGCAACGTTGGGCAGTGAGGTCCCATAGACCTCCAAACATTCCAGGCTACTGCCAATGCTCTTGGTTTCCCTCTGGACCTTGACGGTGAGGCCCCACTGCAAAGACACTACACCCCTGAGTCAATGGACAGCAAGGAAAAACACACGAGGACGCAGGGAAAGGGCATGCACGACGCAGGCAGGCAGAGCAGGAGCATGCTGCCACAGGTCATTGGATGACTCAAGTTGTCAGATCTAGAAGATGAAAGAGAAGTCCTCTAGAGCCTCCAGAGCGGTCACAGCCCCGCCACACACTCATTTCAGACTGCTTCCTCCAGAGCCAGGGCAGACGAAGTTCCTGCTTTAAGGGTCCCAGCTCGTTACAGAAACTGTAGGGAGTTGGCACTGCACAGGTCTTGACTACTGCTGGTTTCTTAATCGCTGTTTATCACCGTGGATATTTCCTCAATCATGGGTGAAACAAGTTAGTATCATGGAAAGAGTAAAAATAACACCGTAAAAATAGCTTCTTTGTGAGCCAGTTAACTCACAGCTGGAGGAACTGAAGTTCAGGGAAGGCTGTGGAAGACTGGGGGACACAGCTGCCCTGGCCGGTGAGTCCCTTGTCTTCTCCTGGGTGGCAGCAGGCTTGGCGCTGCACACGGTGTCCACCAGCCCACACAAAGAGCAGGTTCACGCTTGGCCAACAGGAAGGCTGCACTCCCTTCCACCTTCTTCTCTCTGCCTTCTGATTTGGCCATAGCAAATGTCCACTTTTCATCCTTTGATCGTTCCAGAAAAGCAAGAATTTTGAAAGATCAATGTGTCATGTTTTTTTTCAAGCCAGGCCACTGGACATCCCAGTTCTCCATTTGCGACCCACAGTCCTCATCCCTCCTCCCTCAGGTGGGCTGTGCACAGCAGGCCAGTTAGCTAAGAGCAGAGCGAGATCTGTGGAGCGGGTGTGCACAGGACTGGCATCTGCCAGAGCCAGCATCATGGTGCAGTCATGGCCTGGGCAGGTGTGTAGTCTTGGACAGGGAGAGTGAATAAGAGCCATGGTGTGTGAGGGTGTGCATGGCCTGTCCCTCCCTCATACTTACTGTGCATGGAAGCAAAAGGGCGCAGGAGATGTTGGGTTCATTCCACTTGTCCATGCCTCCTAGCCTGACTACCCTTTCCAGCCCAAGAGTGTTTGTGTTGTAAGGGGAAGTTCTTCCACAAGCCCTTTCCTGGAAATGCACCTGGTGAGCCCCTGCGCTGGATGTCTCTTCCCTCCTGAGTATTCAGGTTCAAGAAGCAGCACCCAAGGGTCACCTTTCCTAACCTTGTATTGGTTGTTCTCTGAGAAAACATCCTGAGGGCCAATAACGTGGGTGTTCTTATAAAATAAAATATTATTTTATATATTTATATCATGTGTATTTATAATTTATTTTTTGTATATGTATACATGCCTGTGTGAGTTTATGTGCACCACATGCATCCCAGTGCCCACAGTGGCCAGAAGAGGACACCAGATCCCTTGAATGGAATCACAGCTGTCATGAGGTCCCCAGTGTGAGCACTGGGAGTTGAACCCAAGGCCTCTGCAAGAGCAGCAAGCGCTCTTAATCACCACGGTCTCCCAATCTTTTCCTGCAAACTTCATGCAGATTTTTCTTTTTTATTAAAAAGAAAATACAAGGTCACCAGAAAGGTGAAAACAAATTCTTTGAAGGATTCTACTAGGTCTCCAAGGCTGCTGGAACATTCTTAGCCTCTTGTGGCAAGTGGCAGGTTCATAAGTCATTGGGTCCAGAGGGACCAGGTGCCAAGCCCATCGGGAGATGGGGTCTCCTTCCCAGCCTTTCAGCTGGGCTCTTCCTAGCCCTGGGGTGGGGGCTCCTCCCATTCCACAGAGGAGCTTTTCCTCACTTGCTTGCTGTTTTCCCATAATCTTCCCAAGTCCACCCCGTTCTCTGTTGGGACTCTAGAGCATCCTCATAGCCGTGAAAACTTCCATCAGCTTCCAGATTCAGGCCTGGACTGAAGCAGGCCCGGACTGTCAAGTCTAGGTGAAGAGGTGAACAGTTTACTTGTACGTGAGTCTCCTCTGGAAGGAGGAAGCTTGGTTTGTATGATTCTGATTTTACAGGCCACCTGCACATGAGGCCTGGGCCTGTGACCATGAGAATGGTATCCTGACCTTGGCTTCTTTTCTTGGCTTATCAGGTGTGATGACTCCATTGATGGTCCAGTGGGGTAAATGACACCTCTTTTTAGGCCAGTACTTGCTCCCTCAGTCCATCCCTGTTTCTGCTCTACTCCCCCATCCCAGCCACTACACACACATGTGCACATACACACACATACATTCACACATGCATCTACATATGTACACAAACAGACACACCAACACTCTGTTTCTGTTATATTCCTCCATTCCAGCACATGTGCACACAAAATCACTGATGGACACACATATCCCAAGAGCTCTTGCTGGACCAAGAGAACTAACTTCCAAGCTCAGCCCTCTGCAATTCCCTAAAAGCCCCACCATTCTTTATATATATATTTTTTATTGAAAAAATTTCTGCCTCCTCCCTGCCTCCCCCCACTCCTCTACCCCTCCCCCCACTCCTCTCCCCCTCCCTCTCCAGTCCGAATTGCAGTCAGGGTTCCCTGCCCTGTGGGAAGTCCAAGGTCCTCCCCACTCCATCCAGGTCTAGGAAGGTGAGCATCCAAACAGGCTAGGCTCCCACAAAGCCAGTACATGCATTAGAATCAAAACCCAGTGCCATTGTCCTTGGCTTCTCATCAGCCCTCATTGTCCGTCATGTTCAGAGAGTCCAGTTTTATCCCATGCTTTTTCAGTCCCAGTCCAGCTGGCCTTGGTGAGCTCCCAATAGATCAGCCCCACCGTCTCATTGGGTGGGTGCCCCCTCGCGGTCCTGACTTCCTTGCTCATGTTCTCCCTCCTTCTGCTCCTCATTTGAACCTTGGGATCTCAGTCCAGTGCTCCAATGTGGGTCTCTGTCTCTATCTCCATCCATCACCAGATGAAGGTTCTATGGTGATATGCAAGATATTCATCAGTATGGCTATAGGATAGGGCCATTTCAGGGTCCCTCTCCTCAGCTGCCCAAGGAACTAGCTGGGGACATCTCCCTGGACACCTGGGAGCCCCTCTATAGTCAAGTCTCTTGCCACCCCTAAGATGGCTCCCTTAATTAAGATATGTACTTCCTTGCTCCCATATCCACCCTTCCTTTATCCCAACCATCCCATTCCCCCAAGCTCTCCCCCTCCTCCCCTTCTCACTTTTCTCTCCCCATTTCCCTTACCCCCATCCCACCCCACCCCCAAGTTCCCAATTTTTGCCCAGCAATCTTGTCTACTTCCAATATCCAGGAGGATAACTATATGTTTTTCTTTGGGTTCACCTTCTTATTTAGCTTCTCTAGGATCACAAATTATAGGCTCAATGTCCTTTATTATGGCTAGAAACCAATTATGAGTGAGTACATCCCATGTTCATCTTTTTGGATCTGGGTTATCTCACTCAGGATAGTGTTTTCTAATTCCATCCATTTGCATGCAAAATTCAAGATGTCATTGTTTTTTACCGCTGAGTGATACTCTAATATGTATACCACACTTTCTTCATCCATTCTTCCATTGAAGGGCATCTACCACCATTCCTTCTTCCAAGAAGATTTTTGCCTTCTCACCCACTAGCTGACCCCTTCCAGGCCATAGGACCAGCTGTGTCCTCCTCTCTGTGTCTCCCAAGATCCCTTGCTCCTGTATCTGCTCTGGGAGCATCTGCACACTTTTTAGTGTGTATTGCAGTTTCTATAGCTCTTTTTCTCCCACAGACTCTGAGCCCAGGGCTACGGGAAGCCAAGTTCAGCCCTGTGGACCCACACTGTATCTCATGTCAGTGAGGACGTTTGTGCTTGCGTGTGCCGGTGGGTGTGGAACTGAAGAGAGTCAGAAGGGGGCTCCCACGTCAAACAAAAAGATCTCAGATCTCCCAGGCATCTCAACAACTCAGACTCTCAGGTCCCTTTCCATCCCACCTGCTTGCTGGGCATCAGTGGTTCAGGGATGCTGGCCTCTCAGGCTCTTCTTCTGAAGATACCAGGCATGCTAGGTTTAGAACTGTGTGCTCATCTCCTCTCTTGGTTGCACAGGAGGGGTCAGGCAGGAGCCCAGAGAGGTAACGTGTATGGGGAGGTAGTGAGGTGGGAGATTTCTCCAAGAGCTAATGGAAGCCCTGGCCGCTCATAGGCCACATCAGCACAGCACAGGGAGAAGACTTGTGGACCAGGAATTAATGTCTGCAAGCACCCTGAACAGAACTCAGCCTGCATCAGCACTCAGCTGTGAACTCACAGCCGTCAAGCTGTCCTACGAGACACTGTGTGGGCGGATGACCCCTCTTCAAGAGGAGGACGCTGATTATATAAGCAGTAGGCTGGCATGCAAGAGGGCCTGCTTTACCTCAGCGCCATATTGACGCTGTTGTGTAAAATGCACTTGGAGCATCTGATGGGCAGTGGTGACACATGACTCCACGTGACTTCCTGATTCTTTCCTTCGTGCTCTGGGGTGTCTTTCCTGCCTGGGTCTCCTCTTCCTTTAGCTATGAGGAGCTCCCCAATCCTTATACACTCACTCCTTCTAACAAGATCCATTCCTGGTTTATTTCCATCAGAACCACCGACTATCCAAGCATTCCTCTTTCAGAGCTGACCACATGCTCAGGGTTGGGTATCCATGAACTGAGTTTTCACTCACGGTCACCTTATACCCTGTCCCCTCCTCCACCTTCTCCCTGACACTGGACACACAGAGGGGGTACAGTCAGGAGGTTGTAAAGAGATTCTGTTGTAACGAAAGGAAGTCCCAGGGCCTCGACACCAAGCTCACCACTCCACCAAGTCCCTGGCATGAAATATTACCTTGTGTGTCCCGGAGTTGATCAGGAGGAGACCCCAGAGTCCAGATGGAGTAAGACCAAACAGGACATGGACCCAGAGTTTGTTTTGACTGATGGGGATGGAGACCACAAATCTTGCTTTTTGATGCCCTGGTCCTCACTCAGGGCTGCTTTTCAAGGGACCATCAGCGTTAGCCCACTGGGCACAGGGCCTCCCCTGCAGCCTCTCACAAGTTATAAGGACGCAGGACAGAAGCTACCTTTCCCGCATAATATAGGCGCTTTACCCGAACCTTCGCAACAACATTGACAAATGTAGGCTCTCTACAAGGAATAACAAATAAATGCAAAGTGCTCTAATGGAAGATTAAAGAAACATGAGCCAGGGCCCGTGACTGGAATGGCCTCTCTCTGCCGTTCACATATTTGCATCTTAATTGGCATTGTGAAGTATTCCCAGCTGTGTTCTGAAGGTTCCACTCTCTTCCTTTGGCAAAAGAACGTGTCATGTTAACTCCCTTTGGGCCTTGTGATGGGGCCGCCTAGGGCTGCCGAGTGTTTCAGGCCCTGGAGCAGATACGGAAGCCTGTCATTCAGGCCTTGGCCCGAGGGACCTGGACTCTGAACCTCTCAGGAGTCATGCTGGCTGAGAAGTCTCCCAGGCTCGTGAACCTCGGTTTGCACTGGGTGGAGTGAGCTTGGTAATGAGGGTCCTGCCAGTGACGGGTGGCCTGTGGGCCCATGACTAACCTATACAAACGCTTTCCTAACTGGGAGGTGCCCAAACAAAAGCAAGCTGTATTTCTGTCCAGCTCTCAACCCTCAGCTGGGTAACTAAGAACTCACGGGCTTTATCCACCTGGGGCGGAGACCGCCAGTTCCCAGGGCCTCTCTGACTTTAATCCCCACCCCTTTACCCATGAGGCTCTGCTGCAAAACTGGTCTGCTTCTACACACCGACTGGGGGCGGGACGGAGTGGGGGGGTGGAGGGTGGAGGGGAGCGCGATTCCTACCCAGGGACATAGACCCCAGCCTGTGTACCCATCTCATCTATGCCTTTGCTGGCATGGACAGTCACCAGCTCAGCTCTGTAGAGTGGAACAACAAACTTCTCTACCAGGAGCTGAAACAGCCTAAAGAAGATGTGAGGCGAATGGGAGGAGGGGTGAAGGGTGGACAGATTACCCCTCTTCCATCCAGAAACTCTCCATCCTTGCATCGACCTGCACCCCCGTCCCACCCCACCCCCAGTCTCTCTCTCTGCTTACCTGTGCTTATATAGAAGAGATAGGGGTAGATAAGAAAATTGTAAAGGCCCCTTCTGGTTTAAATCTAAACAAGATCAGAATTGCAGAACTGTTTTCTACTCTGAGCAATTTCCCTCCTCTTGGGCATGCTCTAAAATGTATCCATCCTGAGCTACCTTACAAAGCCCCTCTGGGGACCCTGGTCACTTACTTCCGGAGTTCCTTGGGAATGTGCTCCTGTGTAATGCTGTCCCAGTTAGACACAGGGTCCTCTTTGTCACACACATGTCTTTGCTGTCCCAAGCTACATCTCCAAACGCACTCAACGCAGCTGTGTACACGGGAGTCAGCGCATGCTCAGACCTGTCCCTACTGTTCCTCTCACCTCAGCTCTTGCCCATCCTACACGCTGGTGAGATGCAGCCTCGCACATCTCTTGTCTTTTCAGGAACCCAAGCTGAAAACTCTGTTAGCTGTCGAGGGCTGGGACTTTGGTACCCAGAAGGGAGTGGACTTGGACGACAGGGTAGCAGAACCTTTGGAAGGGAATGTGGCACACTGGCTGACAAGCCCTCCTCAGGGAAGGTCGGGCAGGCCAAAGCATGACAAGGGGTGGGGTCCTGGACCGTGGGATTTTTTTCACTCTGGTTCTAGGCCCTTATCAGGTTAGGATGGCAGTGGTGCAGGCTTGGCTTCAGGTTGCAGAGACCCAGTCTTATCAGAAGGCCAGAATCTAAAGCAGCAGAGAGCTCTGACCACTCCAGCCTCAGTTTCCTCCTCCATGAAGTGGCTGAAGAGGGGACCAGGGACTCCAGACAGCGCACAGCCTATTTTCTGAGTGCTTGAATAAGATATCTTGTCAGTGAGATGGAGCTTGCCTGCCAAATTATTGTCCACATCTGTAATGGGTTTTTTTTTTATTTATGAAAATAATGGAGCTAAAAATATCCTAAAGATCTAGACTATATTGTTCCCAAAACTTTATATAGTTAAAAAATATTTTGGTGCTAAGAGACCTTTTGAGAATTCGATGGATGTTATGACTCAACTTCCCAAAATAACACATTTTTTATTAACATCGTTAAGGTTGTTAGCTCAGTATTCCCAGAGACATGGACCTAAGAATTAACAGCATTAATTTAATTATGTTAGAAGTTAATAAAAATAGAATCAGTTTGAAGGAAAAAAGTTAAAATCCTTAAAAATTCCAAGACTTCTGGGGGGGTTCTACCAAGCAGGGAAGAGAGGGAAAGATGTCCCCTGGGGCCAGTGTAGAAATTCAGAAGATCTCTGGGCAGCCCAAAGGTTAGCGCCAGCACATGCCCTCCACTTAACCTGCCAGGGAGCCAACCAAGGGGTCCCCAGTTTCCCAGCTTCTTCCTGGTCTCTCTGCTTGTCCCCCTTATGGCTCCTTAGAAGTCTGTGCCTTTTCTTCCAGTCTCATGGAGAGTAGGGGGTGGGGGTAGTTCTGAATGACAGTGATACAGTCCAAGGAACTGCAAGGGGATTGGGGCAGCCCCGGTGACACTGACTTTGGGGGTTAGAGAGCACTTTCATTGTTCCTTTCTGTAACCAGGCCCTAACCTGTCATCAAACACCCCAGTAGCCCTGGCAGCCAGCATACAGCCCTCCTGGTGTAAATACAAGATTGGGATCCTGAGTACATTCCTACTTGCCTGTGAGCAAGACAGTAGTCTCTGGTCTAGCCCCAGCCAGGCCACACCCTTTCATCACTTCACAGGTTCACAGATATGGTGGCCACGGCCAGCAACAGGCAGACCTTTGTCACCTCAGCCATAAGGTTTTGATGGACTTGACCTTGACTGGGAGTACCCAGGAAGCAGGAGCCCCACAGTAGACAAAGATAGATTCACAGCCTTGCTGCAAGGATGGCTGGGTGTGACTAGAGTCACCTAGTCTGCCAAGTGACGGGGGTGGGGGTGGCCCTACAGTACTTGAGTGCTGCTGTGTCCCCAGGGCCAGCAGCTTCAGACTCCAGAGTATGAACACCCATGGGTGAGGGTGGGGGTGTGACAGGGTGGAGGGTCCTGCTGCTCCTGCCTCTGCCTTCACTCCGCATTCTTCCCGCAGGACTTGGCCACAGCTTTCCAGGAGGAAGCCCAGAGCTCAGGGAAGGAACGACTCCTTCTGACTGCAGCAGTGCCCACTGGACAAGACCATGTGGATGCTGGCTATGAGGTGGACAAGACTGCTCTGTGAGTCTCAGGCAGTCTACGCAGACCCCATGACCTCCAAGGCTGGAGAGGTCCAGGGTGCTTGAGCTCCTCGGAAATGGAGCCAATCTCTGCCTTCAAAATGTGACTTTCAGTCAGGCGGTGGTGGTGCACAGCTTTAATCCCAGCACTCGAGAGGCAGAGGCAGGCAGATCTCTGGGTGTTCGAGGCCAGTCTGGTCTACAGAGCCAGTTCCAGGATAGCCAGAGCTACACAGAAAGACCTTGTCTTGAAAAACAAACAAACAAACAACAACAACAAAAGGATGTGGCCTTCAGATGCTCCCAGGTGTCTGGGAAGTACATTTTCTGTATCTGCTGTTCGGTTATTCCAGATCTTTTTTGCAGGTGTGTGTGGGGGGGGGGTGCGGTTGGGGTGTTTGTTCCTTTCTTCCTTGGGAGCTCACAGTTAAAGAAAGAACACCTTTGGAGCAGGGAGGGAGAGCAAAGCCCTTAAGCATCTCCAAGAATATGGGAGGTCACATGTTAGCTCCACAGTGTGGTGTGTGGAGCTATAGCCCATATGACACCTGAGAGCTGGTGTGCATGCGTGTGTGTGTGTGTGTGTGTGTGCTCTACCTCCAGCACTCAGGAGGTAGAGATAGGAGAGTCTCAGTGAATCTGAAACCATCCTGCTCTGCACAGTGAGTGCCAGGCCAGCTACGTGGAGTGTGTGTGTGTGTGTGCGCGCGCGCGCGTGCGTGCGCATGTGTGTGTGGGGGGGGCATTAGAAAGTTTGTGAGAAATGCAGCCTGCTGAGTAAGAGCCTACATTTTAGTGGGATTCTCAAGGGACTTGTATAATCATAAAACTTGGGAAGCACTGAACTAAATTGCTTCCAAAGTGGCAAAATCAAACCAGCACAGAACAGTAGGCACTTGAGGGTGCTGAAGAGACAGTAAGCAGGGGGAGGCCACCAAAGACAATGGGCAGCCCCACAGTGCTAAGGAGACTGGTCTAAAGGTGGTGGTGGAGAATGTCATGAACAGAGCCAGAAGGGAACCTCCCCACCACACTAAGGGAAGCAGGAAGAGAGGCCCCGGTCGTCATCTCCCACCCATGTTCCCACCTCTTCCTACTCCTCCTGCGGGAGCCTGGATTTCATCAACCTTATGGCTTATGACTTCCATGGCTCCTGGGAAAAGACCACAGGACACAACGGCCCCCTCTACAAAAGGCAAGAAGAGAGCGAGGCAGCGTTGGGGTTCAGTGTGGTAAGGAGTCAGTGGGCAAGACGGGGTCCTCTGTCTGGCAGGACCTGCTCAGTGGCCTCATTTGAACCCCAACCCCCTAATGAAAAAGAAAACCAGGAAAGCCAAGCGAGACACCAAGGAACCAGATGTCTTTGCCACTTTATTCTATCCTGCACTCTTGGGGGTGAAGCCTCACTTCTCGGCAGCATCTTAGATAACAGAGAAAGTCACTTTAATGACATCAGACACACAGGACCAATGGCGAAGCCTCCTTGGAACTTGGCTCTCCAGCCAATATGACTCCCACGTGTTTCACATGCTCATCCCTAGTCCAAGGTTGGTGATGCCAAGGAGAGACTGTCACTCAGAGAGGAACTGCCCAGCCTCAGAAAAGGCCAGGCTGGTCTTAGGCTACAGTTGTCTTTTCCTGCCCGACTCTTTCTCCTGAGAAGTCTGGATACTTTCCATAAGCCCGGTCTATACCTACAAGTCAAGTTTCTAGAGAGACGGGGGAGGAAGGACCTCCTCTGCTGGAGCCAAGGCTCTCCATGAGCATCCCACTCCTGCCCATCTTCTTTCAGTCCCACCTTAGACTCCTGAATCCTGGGAGAGAAGCTGCAAGGTCCAATAGCCAGATTCAGAGCTTTGGAACCAGCAACTGTCGACCAGACAAATAGTCACCGATAGTCCATTGTATGCCAGGTAAAGTGTTTAGAATAAAACTAATACAAATAGCCATTTGAATTCAAGGACTTAATGCATATACGAGCATCTGCTAGAACCCCATTCTCGGGCAATCAGAACTAAGGTAAAGACAGATTGATCAGGCCCTCCTTTTCTATCTGGATGCTGCTGTGCAGCTCTGGCTGCAGAAGGGGACACCTGCCAGAAAACTGATCCTTGGGATGCCCACCTATGGAGGCTCCTTCACCCTGGCCTCTTCATCAGACAACAGAGTTGGGGCCCCAGCCATGGGGCCTGGTACTCCAGGCCCCTATTCTAGGGACGGAGGGATACTGGCTTACTTTGAGGTAAGAAGGCCTTTACTATCCTGAGTATGGTGGAGGGCCAGGGGCTCCTGGAAGGTGAGAGGGCTTCTCCTGCAGTTGCTGAGAAAAGGAGAGAAGCATGGAGAATTCTGGCCAAGGGAACCCCTTTCTACCCTGGTCATCTTGTTTCTATCCTGGAGCTCAGGTAACTGAAGGCAAAATCCACAGTTCTAGGCTACTGCACAGAACTTCTCGTGTTCTCTAGGCTTCCCCAGATGGGTAGTTTTCAACCTCCGATCTCCTCTTGGCATGAGGGAACAGGTAGTGTTAATCCCAAAGATTCAAGAAGAAAGACCACTGGCCCAAATAATCATGACCAAATTAATTAAAGTTTTTTTTTTATTTGTGTACATAGGCTGCCTCCCCCTAAGGCAGGGTTCAAGAGACCTGGCGAAGATAAGGTTTTTATAGCTGTTTCCATATTGGGAATTTGTCAGGCAAATAGGTGGGGTTACAAGAACAGAACTTAAGCATATCAGGTTGGTCATAAAGACCTCCTGAAACAAGATGTGATTGCAAGGTGGTCATAACAGGGTAGCCATAGCAAGGTGGTCATAACAACAGGTAATCATAACAACCTTTTTGAAACAAAGTCATGATTGTCATTTCCTGGAATAGGCAATACAGAACCATTTGTAGTTAAGATTACAGGTGGGGCATAACCCAATCCTTGAGAAAGAGAGTTTAATCATAAACAGGAATGAGCCCCATTTGTCTTTTAAAATGGGTTTTAAGCCTAACATGGAGGCAAGCCTGTTTATCAGTACCTATCAGTGTTCTTCTTCCTCCCTAACACAGCTCTGTTCTACAGGTCTGCTCCTGGAAGGGAGAACACAGAATTAAGGAACAGAAGGTGCCCTACATCTTCCAAGACAGTCAATGGGTGGGATTTGATGACAGGGAAAGCTTCGGAGCTAAGGTGAGGCCCAGCCCTACTGGGAGGGGGTGGCCCCCACAGATCTAAGGCCTGTCAATAACACTAGCCCCAGACTCTCTTCATGGATGGGTGTTCTTGTAAGTGCCCCAGCATTTCACCCTCTTCATGTGACCACATTTAAACACTTATCATCTGTTGATGAAGAAGAGGCACCATAAAGGTGGGGATGTGGATCAGCGTTAGGGTGTTTGCCTGGCGTGTACAGGGTTCAATCCCTAGTACAGAGAAACATGCATGCACACTCATTCATAGTGTGTGTGTGTGTGTGTGTGAGAGAGAGAGAGAGAGAGAGAGAGAGAGTTTGAGAGAGAGAGAGAGAGATTTCTCTGCATGAGTAATCCTCTTGATAAGATTTGTATTTTACCAAAATGCTAAATTCTGTAGGCACATGGGAGGCAGATATACGTGTGGTGGGACATGGGATTTTATCCAGTCTGTTGGCCAGATTTGGAGTTTTCAGAAAAGCTGATAAAGTGTCCTGTGGGAATTAGAAAGAGTAGAAGCTGTTCAAGGAGATGGGGGGAAGGTGTGGGAGGAAGCGTGCTTGAGGCAAGTCCTAAAGCCCAGAATGTACTCATACAGGGAGGAAACTATAGGCAGACAGGGTGGAGAAGGAAGAAATGGACCCTGAGAACAGGGTGGGACCCATGAAGGAGAGTGAGGCCGGTAAGGGGTCTAGACCACCCTCCGTCAGCTCCCAGACACTCCACGGACAAACCTCGTGGTGCTCTGAATATCTCTGAGGAAACACACAGCCACAGTAGATTCCCTCAGGAATCCTGAGGGTGGCAAAGAAATGAAGATATGAAGACAAAGCTAGCTTCAGAAATTTCTGGAAACTGAGAGCTGATTCCCTGTGGTGACTGAACCTATAACAACCAGTAGGAAATACTTTAAAGGCCCACATATGCTCATCCTCCCCAGGTCAGCTATCTGAAACAGAAGGGGCTGGGAGGGGCCATGGTCTGGGCCTTGGACTTGGATGATTTCACTGGTTCCTTCTGCAAACAGGGCCAGTACCCTCTCATCCGGACCCTGCAGCAGGAGCTGAGTGAGTCGGGGGAAGAGAGGTTAACTCAGGGAGAGGGTTACACACCCTCCCCTCTCATATGTCTTTCTGAGGAAACAGCTGTGCCCCAATATTGTGATTTCTCAAACTGCACGCACCCCAGGAGCTAAGGAAACTGTTGAAACTGTGCTTCTGCACCCCCTTCCTGTTTCATGTTGGCAATACCTGCCAGGGTGTAGAAACAGGGACTCCCTCCAAGATCTCAGCCTGAGGACAGCTGTTTGCTCTCACCAAGAAGAAAGCCACCCCTCACCCTGTTGTGCGGGACCCCCGTCACCAGTTTATGGCTAGGTGTCACAGCTGGTATGTAGTCACCGGCTCCCTACTACTTTGTAGCTCAGGTGGTCTTCCAGGCAGTGCCCAGCAGTCATGGCTGTGGTCTGGATGTGGTGTATGGGGAGCAGGGCTTCTGCCACCTGTGGCTGCTACCCTGTGTTTGTGTGTGGAATCTGTTGGGCTGGTATTGGTGGTATCTTCATTGTCTTTCTTGGTCTTCCACACATGCCTCCAAGAAGCCCTGAACAGGAAGCTCCTGGGCCACACCAGCCTCCTGAACCAGAGCAGGGACCCAGCCCAGGGCTAGATACCTTCTGCCAGGGCAGAGCTGATGGGTTCTACCCCAACTCTGGAGACAACCCACTTACTATAGCTGTGCATGGGGACAGCTGTTCAAGCAGAGCTGTCCCCCAGACCTGGTGTTTAGTGACTCTTGCAGGTGTTGTACTTGGAGCTGAGTCTCTGGAACCCTGTCCACCCCAGCCTGAGGCCAGGCCTGGGATCCCCCAACAGCCTGCCTCTGTGTTCCCAAGGGGCTGCAGGCTTCTCTGTTCGTTCAATGACTGGGCCTCTACTCCACTTCTTTTTTTTTTAAGATTTATTTATTTATTATGTATACAGTGTTCTGTCTGTCTGTATGATTGCTGGCCAGAAGAGGGCAGATGGCTGTGAGCCACCATGTGGTTGCTGGGAATTGAATCAGGACCTCTGGAAGAACAGCCAGTGCTCTTTACCTCTGAGCCATCTCTCCAGCCCTCTGCTCCACTTCTTGGCTTCCTTTGTCTCTTCTGGTTTCCCCTTTACCTGCAAAATAAATTTTTAGTTTTCACCCCTGATTGTAACTCAGAGGCTAAAGCACCCTGTTGACTCAGAAACTTCCCTAGGGGAACAAGAGGACAGGGGTGGCATACAGCAGGCAAAAGTCAGAGCCAGAAGGTACATTTAGGATGTGCCAGGCTCCGTGAAAGTCTCACCTCACTGAGTCCACCTGCCAGCAAGCATCTGCCAGCATACAGGTACAGGTGACAGCATGCAGGACATGGGCAGGCCCTGCATGTCCGCTGGTCCTTGGTTCAGGAGCCTTTGGGGGAAGATGCTTAACCTCCGCTAGACAGTTATTTCCCCAGTGGACACGCGATGGCAGCAGAGAAGAGTTTTTCCCAGTCTACTGCTCTGTCTGCTGCCACTAGCAAAGCCACCAGTCTTCGGTGGACTGAGTCACCCACGCACCTGCCAGGGCTCCAGCGTTTTCCATAAGGACTGTCTTGGCACTAAGCGTTCACTCGGAAATGAAGCCTATGGGGCCTCTCACAGGCCTCACCTCAACCACCACTCCCAATGACACAGAATGACCATTATCTGCATTTTACAGGCATCTCAGTAGAAGGCTGATTCTAGCTAGTTCTGAGTCCAGAACAAAGGCCTAAATTGGGCCAAGACAAGCACGTGCCCTGGGGACCACCTATTAAAGTGTGGTCTAGCTAAATGGGGTGTCACGTGCCTACAGTCTCAGCACTCGTGGGGCTGAGGCAGGAGGATTTTGGGCATCAGAGTGAGACACCGTCTCAAATAAACAATCAGAAATAAAATAGCAAATGAATAATACACATCTCTTGCAGCTTTGGGAGGTACTTTGATTGTTGCATTTAAAGAAAAATCTTCACATTCCCTAAAGGTCCACCCTGTCATGCACTTACTGGAAGCCTGGTTGGGGAAGTGACTCAGATGGGCTGTCAGGAATGAGTTAGGTCTGGAGAGAGGCTGGTGACTGGGCTCTTGTTTGTTTGAGCACAACCACAAAGCCTTAAGAGGACCTTGCCCATTCCTGCACCCTACCTGCCTTTCAGCCTTCTGCAGTGCTCTGCTGCCCCAAACTGCCTTGATATTGGCCCTGGAAAGCCCAGCCCTGGACACGTTGCACCTCCAGCCCACCTCTACCCCACACTGCCCCACCCCGCTGTGTCCACTCAGCTCCAGGACTGAGATGTTACAGACGCTTGCTTTGTGCTGAGGAGCGCACGGAGCCGTGGAGGACACGGTGCTGGGGGACTGGGAGGGGGTATCTGGTGCCAGTTTGAGTCAGCCAGGTCCCCTCTTGCTCAGACATGGCTTTTCCCTGGTCTCTCTGCTCCCTGACTCTCCCGTCTCTAGTCCATCCTCCACACCCAACCAGTTTGATCTTTATAAATCAGGGATCTAATCCAATCACCCCCCTTGCTTAGAAACAGCTTTCTCAACCCAAGGAATAAAGTCCCTAGCTCCCTAGTAGCAGCAGCAGCAACAGCTTTGAGACCGCTTGTCAGGCCCTGGCCTCTCTTCCCAGTCTAACCTCTCTCGCCACACGAGTTCCATTCCCTAGTACCCAGCTGCCAGTGTTAACCGCAGGCATCCAGATCACAGTGTGGCGCCTCCAGGTGCCCCCCCAGCTTACCCAGGTGCACCCCCTTTCCTGAATGGCTCTTTCTGAACCTGGAGCACTCAGCACACCGAAAGCCATTTGTGTTCATGCTGACACTCCACCTCCACTGCGGGCTCTGGGCCCCTGGCTCCGTGTCCTCCGCGGCTCCGTGCGCTCCTCAGCACAAAGCAAGCGTCTGTAACATCTCAGTCCTGGAGCTGAGTGGACACAGCGGGGTGGGGCAGTGTGGGGTAGAGGTGGGCTGGGGGTGCAACGTGTCCAGGGCTGGGCTTTCCAGGGCCAATATCAATATTCAGCAGACAGGAAACAAATGGGACCCTTTCAGGTGATAGCGAGGGCTACAAGGGAAAGTCTGTGTGGCTGGAGACTGGAAGTGGGTGTGGGTGAGGCTACTGGGCAGTGTGGTCAGAAAGGTCCCTCAGCAGAGGTCACATTGGAGCTTCCTATAAAATCTCCAAAGATTTGCCTATATTATCCTCAGATGCTGGATCATTCAGGTGGCCCCTCTTCCCTGGCTGCTTTGTTGACTGAGTTCATAAGTCAGAGCCTCTGCCTTGGTTCTCTCTTCCCATTTTCCTGGTCCTGACCCTGGTCCTTCTAGCACAATGCCTTATCCAAAACCCAGGTCAGTGGCTGCGACCACAGCCTCGTGCACAAGTCTCCCTGAACAGTGCCTGTTTCTTCCGATCTTAGGCCTGCCACCATCCCAATTCTTACCCTATCAGTGGTCTTGTGGGTAATAACAGTGATCACGGCTCTTGGGCCACTGCTTTGTGTCCTTACCTCAGTCCAGCCAGCTCAGTCAGTGCCCAGGCATGCGGGGCCCTGTGCAGTGTGGCTCATCACCCCCCCCCCCCCCCTTTGCCACTTGAGATTGCACCACAGGGCAAGGTCTTGTTCTGGCTCCCTCCACCCTGTACATCTCCTTTCCTTGATAGCCTCGCCTCCCACCCAGAGCCAGCCTTGGGTCGTCTCCGGCAGGACCTTCCCAGGGGCCTTGGCACATCAGGGATGCTTCCTGCCACCCGGCAGCCTGGGCTACCTCATTCACATCTCCAGCTGCGGTGCTCAGGGGACAGTGACCTCTGCCCCCAGATTTCCAGCTCCTCAAAGCACAGAGGCTCAGTAACAAGCAGATTATTTATTTTCTGTTTTTAAATATTTCATCATTTATTTCATTTTTAATTTAATTATGTAAATTCCAATAATACTTAATGTTCATGAATTTCAGGATGGCCTTGAATTTAGAAGTGAAAGAAAACCTTGAATTTCGGATCCCCATCGCTACCTCCCAAACGCTGGGGTTCCAGGTGTGAACCGCCACGCCCGATTTATGTAGAGTGAGAGGTGGAACACTGTGCTTTGTGCGTGCTAGACAAACACTCCACTGAGCACCGCTGAGCTAAACTCCCAGCTGATTTCCTCCCATTTTTATCTTCAGGTACAAAAATCCATTCTGCACCCTAGAGAATTCCCCTACTGAAATACCATCGCGCGGCAGGGCACGGCCCTCCAAAGTTTATCAATTAAGCATCATTTATCCTTTTAATGTTAACATCCAGCCGCTAGGAATTGTCATTTCTTGTCTGACTGGGGATGAGTCACATAGAAAACCCAATTCCTTTAATACTCATGTGTCCCTATAAAGTATGCTCTGGTCACAGGGTCAATGCGTGGCAGAGCTGGAGTTTAGATGCTGGTCTAGATAAGACCCACAGCCCAGGTTTGTGCTCAAACCACCGTGGACATTTCCTTCCTGGGCGAAAGTCTACACAATGCAATCACCTCCTCCACCCTGTGTGATGGACAGGCCCAGGCTATGTGTGCTGGGTGTCTACACCGTATCTACTACCCATGCATCTATGCCAGCATATCCTTATGTTACCGTGTGCTTTAAGTTCTCACTGTCATTCCTACAGGACCTCTCACGCAGGCACAGGTTCCAGGGCCATATCCAAGTTAAGACAATGAGGGAGTCAGGACCTGTCCCATACCTACCCATTTCCCCGTCCCTCTCCGGTCTTTAAACCACAGCTCTTTCCTCTATAACACAGTTGGCCTGCGCATCTAAAATTAATAAAGCTGAAAATTATAAGTATTTCTTGATCATTTACCAGGTGCAAGCAGCTAGCTGGGGATGGGGGTAGGGGTTGTAGAAATGAGTCCTGCCTAACTGTATTTGCAGTTGGTGGGAGACTAGCCAGCTTGGGGGATGTTGCCTCCAACGGGGGAGGCCAGTCCCTACGGAGGGGACAACATCATCTCTGACACTGTGTAGAGCTGCAGGCTCATGGGGATGATATGGGTCAGGCCAAGTCCGGCCTTACTTGTTAATTATTTAGCTCTCTACATACAAGGCATCCTCTTATCTCCCCTGGGTGACTTCCTGCTCCCGTGGCCTAAGGACATCATCCTTCCTCTCTTTCTGAAGTTTAGCAACTGTCACTCTCAAACGAGTCTTCTTCTCTGTACCCGCCAGACTGCCTGTTACCACGACATCCATTTTAATATATAAAGTAGATAATACAACCCAGGGTGGCCTCTGTACCTAGGCTTGAATTGTTGGTGCTGGACTTGGAGTGTGGAGTTTGAAAAGAATATCTGGTTAAGGGCCTGAAAGATGCCAGAGGATAGGACCTGGATTCCATTCCCAGCACCCACATGGTGGCTCAGAACTGTCTGTAACTCCAGTTCCAGGAAGTCTCTGTGGGCACCAGGCACACGAGTGCTACACAGACATACAAGGTGAAATATGCACATACCCACACACATGAAAGGAAATAATCTCCTGTTCGTTTGTTTTTCAAGAGAAGGTTTCTCCGCGTAGCCCTGACTGTCCTGGAACTCACTCTGTAATCAGGCTGGCCTTGTTCTCATGGAGGTTCACCTGCCTCTGCCCCCAGAGTGCTGGGATTAAAGGTGTGAGCTTTTTTTTTTTTTTTTTTTTTTAAGAAAAGAGTGTGGAGCTATTTTCACCTTGCTAACTTACCCAGTGAACACCTAGCACTTTCTCTAACCATGCTGTCCCTCTCATGTCCT